TGTAAATCATGTTTGTCAAATCTAAAACTGATTTCAAAAAGTGGCAAAGGACCCTAGAATGCTGGATGATGAGGATATAAAGTGAAATCCAGTGTAGATTTGAACAAGGTAATACACACCCAAAGAGATGCAACTAGAGGTATAGATTCCAATTTAGTATTACAACTCCAAAAAGATTCCATGTAAACTATGGATAGCTTAAAAAAGGTCAGCTCCATGCATAGTTTTTACTGTCATATTAATTTAGAACCCCTTTCTCTTATTATGATAATACCTGAAAAATACAGGAAACGGGATTATTCAGGAGATGGATAATGTGACACTAACACTTCATCTCCAGGTCATTAATTTCAATCCAGCCAAAGTTAATGACAGCTTTGAATCACTACCATTTAATGACTGTAACCTTTTAGAATATCTAGTTACTGATGTAATCAGAAAGAACATAGCAGTAGTAATGTGGGTTATTTATTGAAGGACAACACATATCATTCACCATAAAAATATTTAACATTGAAACTGAGTATACTACCAACAGATTAAGAGTTTGTTTGCTGCAGAAATAAATTCATTTGAGCACATCTTTTTCCACTTTAAGTATGCAAAAGGGAACAAAAACAAAAAAAGGAGCTTACACATGCAGTTTCTAAAACTAAGGTTTCAAAATATTACTCATTTGCAAACTGTGCCAGATCTTGAAACACACATAGTCTCATAGATACTGACGAGTTCAAGAAAAAGCGATAGGCCTGTGCTCCAGCTGTTACACATTTCCCAGAATAAACATTAGGTAGCATTTCCTGCAAGACTAATTTCCAGCTCAAATTTCCAAAGTCTTTTCCAGCAGATTTACAACAAGCTATCTGAGATTGCTTCCTAGCAGACTGGTGTATATAACTCCCCGACCAATGATTTTTCACAACTAAGTGGAACAATACATGTCATTATAGCTGCAGTATGTTCCTCACATTACATTCTGTCTCTTTAATCACAGCGGTTACACGTGGATAATTAAAGAACATATAATGTAGCAGGGAAAAAAAAAAAAAGAATACAATACTGTATACTGGACAGTAATTGCTTTTTTTTAATTAAACTGTAAATTTCAGTTAAATAATCCTAACTCTAAACAAAAAAACCCCACTAAATGAACAAAAACCCTAAGAGGTAGACAAGATAAAAACATGATTCAGAATTAGTTGAATTCACACTTTTTTAAAGTATATTGGGAATTGATATATAAGAAGGAAATATGCCTATCAGGTTGTGTTTGTTTCTACTGTTCAGGTTTCTAAACAACTCTCCTGGTATTATGAAAATAAAATCATACATTCATTGTAAAAGCAATGGCTAAAGTCATTCCACCACCAAGAGACCCACATTCCACTAAAACTTCCAAGTCAGTACTGCTGATCAAGCAGTAATCATAAGTTTGGTGCTGATTTATATATTAGAGAAAACTACTTTTCCAGCACACTCAGAAAGATAATAACAGGAAACTTATTAATACAATTAAGTACCACGTTACTATGTACCTTGTAATCAGGACGAATGTTTGCAAAGTATATGTAAGAATCAACAGCCAGTGCAATTTTCAGTCCACTTCCCTCCCAAGACAAGGCAGAGATCTGTTTGCCAGGTACTTTCAGTGTGCGCAAATGCTTGTGTAAAACAAGGAAAGGGAAAGATTTGGTATTTATCATAGGAAAACACTCTAAAATACATTAACAACAGTTTTGATAGTTGATGAAAATCAAACACAGATCCTCTTTACAGTACCCTGTAATGACTCTCCAAATACAATACACATGCAAACAAACAGATATTTAACATGCATTTCCATAAAGTGTTCATCTCAGTTTTTTTTCTTTTTCAGAGAGAAAGAAAAACGAGAACTCAGTGATAGTTCAAACTTACAAAAATAAGTAAGAGATGGAGAAGGACAATATAAACAGTTTTTCCTCAGTTTGGTAACTTGAATCACCTTTATAATTTCAATCGCTACTAAAATATACACAACAATAGCACCGCTACCTGACATGCCCCAGTTGATGTACAACATCCTTAACTGATGGTTTAAAGAAAAAAAAAAAAAAATAGCTAGTCTATGTCAAGAACATGCAATGAATTATTTGTATAGGTACACAATTTGTAGTGAGGCAAAGGGCATTTTCCTCTTTACTCCCTTTCAAAAAAAGTCTAAGAAAGGCAGTTTGATTTTCATTTCCAATTTAAGAGCTAGCAAAGAAACAGACTTTTCATTTTTTTTTGTATCTTTATTTTGCTGTAGAATTTGAAGTTGACTGAAGGAAACAATTGAAAAAGAAGTTTTCAAGAACTGTAACCTTAGTCCCACAGAGCACTTGTTTCTGGGAAGCTTTTTGTTTGCAAATAATATGGACGTATGAATAAAGGATACATTCATCTATTATTAACTGTCAGATTTTTTACTTTAAAATATACAGCATTTTACTGAGCAGATGACTGATGCTTACACTTAGATCTAACTTGCCTTTTGAGGGCACAACTTTGTGCCTAAATAAACTGTTCTCAATGAACTGGCACAGTGTAGTACCTATTTCATGCCTTTGATGAGATGCAAATACCAAGTCCACATACTGATCACACACTATTCACAGAAGATATAGTCATCCAAAACACCAAGCCTGTACTTGAATATGAGAACTAGGACAAAACAATTCTAAAATCTAACAGATTTACTTCTAAATAGTAGATACAGCATCTGGAACACCTGTTTCAGTCAATTTGAAGGACATTAGCAACCTGAGACATAACATTATTGCCAAAACCTTTAGTTCTATTTAATACTTTCGACTAAGGAAACCCCTGTAGATGATGACCACTTACTGCTAAGTCTGAACTCAGAGTTGGGCGTTCAAAGTTAACACTATACATATAACATCATTTAGTGTTTTATGAGATGTACTCGGATTTTCATGCTGACCACTAACTTGCTGTTCTAAAAGGGAACCTGATCCTGTGTCATCTTTCCAGATCCTGCCATCTTTCCAGGGTATCAGGCAGATACCCTAGATACCTTAAGAGCACATTAAACACACTAAACACCTACATTTTGGCATCCAGATTCCACCAGTAATGAACACATAGACAAATCATACCATGATTAAAAAAAAAAACATTGAAGTTATATGTTAAATTTTTTTACCTCACCAAACGGAGTATAGAACTGTACAATGTTTACATCTTTATCTTGAGAAGTTGTTTTTAGGGAGCCTGCCACCGCCAATACACTTCCACAGTGGTTCCACTGGATACATACCACATTCATACCAGTGTCAATCAAAACAGGATCTAGTTTTTAAGAAATAAAGAATATAAACACAAGTCAACATTTTGAGTCAAGAGCAGCCCATTAATTAGCACCACATATTTGGTACCTACTATGGTCATTCTCATCTCTCATTATCTGGCATCTTCCATTGTCATAACAGACAGCAAGACAAGGACAATCTGGTTCAATGTAGCCCTCTGTGCCATGATACCAATGTATTCCAGCAATGCTGACTGCTCCAGTTAAGTTCACCAAACAACTCAGTTTCATTTTCACCTAAACAAGAATCATTAATTATTTAAACAACATGCTATTTAGAAGAACAATTTACATCTGTACTGATACATTGCAAAAGAATAAATACGTATGCAAATCTTTTTCCTGTCCCAAGAAAACTTTGCACATTCTCAAAATTTTAAGTGTGAAAAACTTCCTTATTTGAAGCCAGATCAGAGGTATGAAAACATGTATTTTAACTACAAAGAAGAACTTTAATATAGGCATTTTCACTCGTCGGTTTTGAGTTACTTTTCAAAGAAAACAAAGGAAAAAAAAACAAAAACCAAACAAACAAAACTCCACCACCACAAACACGCATATGCATGCACACAAGAACCCTGCTGGAACTTTGCAAAAAGATACAAATAATTTAAACCAATCCTGACCACAAGATTTCATTAAAAAGGAAACTTTTTGTCAGCTTTTTCTTCATAAAAGTCATTTGAATAGTACATAAAAATAACTGGAAAAATAGGTGTTCAAATTAGAACAACAATTAAGTAAGTTTACTTTTGTAATAATTAGCCCTGGATGCATGGTAACACAGAAAAAGTTTTTTTCTGAAAGATAAGAGTGCACCTGGATCACTTCAAGGAGGGCTACCAGGTAAGTTACAGAAGAGAGGGTAAGGGTTGGCACACACAACCATACATAGTGTTGGGGGGGAGGGACAACAACTTACTTCAAAGAATTTCAATAATCTACAGCACATGGTAGAAACACCATGACTAGAGCAGTGGGAAGAAAGAATGGTAGAGTGAGGAGTTAAAGAAGGAAAGGGCAGAAGGGGAATGAGAAGGGGAGAAGGGGAATGAGAAGGGGAGAAGGGGAACGGGAAATTCACCATAAGAGGGATCTAAGAATTAACATGGTTCTTTGGAACATTGCTCATTTCAAAGTCTGTATTTTACTTCCATTTTGCATTTTGTCATAGCATTATAGTATATTCCAGTACTCCAAATAAGTAGATAAAAATAAATAAGCAAGCCAAAGTTGTAGGAATGAAAAACTCGCTCACTACTGGGTGTTCTCTGAAGCATGTAACATTCCTTATGTAATAAAGAATGACAGCAGCAATGGAAAACACTGCTTTATTCTAACTACTGCTTTATACTACACTAGTGCTTTTAACATAAGCTTCATTTAATTAATATCACACGTGTTTTCATATTTTCAATAACTGTTGCAAGGCAAAAAGGCATTAGTTTATGTGATATTTATTTAGCTACCAAGAAAGAAATATTTACATTAAAACACTGCTGCTGCATAGATCTTGAATGAAAACTTTCTGAACAAGATCTTGTCCAGTTCTCAGTACTGAAGTCTACCAACTATGAAGTCCACCAGCTAAACAAACAAACATGAAATACATTAAGAGAAGGTAAGTTTTTGTAAGTTGTTTAGTAAGTTAAGTAAACCTGTTATTATACCACCATGAACTTACAATAAAATTTCCCTGATTGTCATAAATATGAATCTCTCCATTTGACATTCCAAAGAGTAAAATTTTGCTATCGGAGGACCAGGCCACGTGGCACAGGTGGGTACCTTTCAAATCTTTTCCCCAAATGCGATTGCCTGTAACAGAACATTGATTGCACTTAATAAACATGACAAAAAGTTAAAAATAGGATGCAAGTTACCAACATAAAAACTAAAATAGCTAAAGAAATTCAAAGCAACAATTAGAAAGTAACTATTAATCTTATTTATCTAGAGAAAGAGCCACTGTGTACCTAATACTGAAAACAAAAGCTATGTAACACCACAACAAATAGTAAAGCTTAAATTTTACCATCCACTGATCCAACAATCACAGCTCCATCTTCATACACAATACAAATCTTTTTTCCATCAGCATTCCAGCTCATACTTCGAACAACAGATTTATTTCTATTGTTAATCATCTCTTCGTACCAAGCACCTATTAGTAGTGAATGAAAAACTGAGTTATACTTCTGACTTGATAATCCTCTAGTGGATACAAGATACTGAATCCAAAGAGTAAAATTACTCTCATTTTAAAATATATGCAAATAGGATGGTAATGACATTTCTTAGCCATATGAATTTCTGAAGTTGTTAAAAAAATAAATACATAGTGGATATGTATTATAAAACATACAGTATAATAAAAATGTAATACAGACACAGAAAAAGTTTATCAAAGTTACCAAGCAATCAAACTATGTGTTCAATGAAATGGAGAAACCTGAGAATGGTCTGCTTAGAAGTATACATGAGAAGGTGGGTTATATATGACTCTACATTGTAATTTATAACAAATAGAAAGCTACAGAAGTAGTAAGTTTTAGAAAGGAATTAAAGTTGTTCTGCCCTTTCAGTAAAACTCTAGCAAGACAACTCCATAGTGTCCCCAGACTACACAGATATAACTACTGTGAAACTCAGTGTTAAGATTGTGAGCTACTTATTTCCAAAAAGAACCTGACAAATGAGGAATGGAAGAGGGGAGCCAAAGTCCAAGAGGGGCCCTACAGGAAAAGATCTGTCCTTACGTAATTTCAGAACTGACAAGAACACACTAGGAAACAGGGAACAACCATCAATGACATCAATATATATTAAGTAATATACTGATACTTTTCCAAACTAAGAGATGATTTATGTGACAGTAGCCACCACATATCAGGCAGAAAGATTAATCAAGTGATATTCTTTATTCCTAAAATGAGAAGCTGAGCTGAGATTTTGTTTCCATTTTTCATTAAACAAAAATCCCCAAGAGAAAAACCCTTTCTGTTCTTCTTTCCCACATGTGTTGGAAAGTGGTTAATTTCACTGTGAGGTTTGTTGGATTTCAACTGAATTTAACCATACCAAAAAAAGTACATGTACATATGAAAAGATCAAGAAAAATAAAAGCCAATTAAAGCAACACACGGATTAGTCATATTAGTCTTCTTCTTTAATTACATATTTTTAAAGGTTGCTTTTATGAAAGTATATAATTGACTTTTCATCAGGGTTGCTTAGTTCTTGTAGTTCTACCACCAATACTTCTGTGCTTGGTCCACTTTTAGAACTCTTTAAATACTAGATTACCCAGAACAGAACCTATACAAACAAGCACTGCTTCTTTTTTTGTTCAATATACTGTTTTCCTCCAAGGGAATAAAGTAACAGAGAAGGAAACAAGAAATTTAGAGCAGTTTACAAAGCACATGACTAAAAATTTGTATCTTCTCCTGAGGTATCTCTGCAGGACCACCACCCTTCTATATGTGACTATACTATGAAAAATGTTGACAAGTATTACAATAAAAACTTGGAAATTGTTTAAAATCTATTTTGAGCTTTGCAGTCTGCAAAATAAAAAGTCAGGGAAAGAATTTTTTTTAATTGCTGGAAAACAAAAAGGAAAAAGAAAGAACAAAAAAAAAGATAAAAGAAAAAAAAAGATTTCTCACAACATAAAATAATATCCCATCTTAGATTTATCCTGTAGAGTACCTTTATACAGCATCCACACAATGATAAGTCCATTTTGATCACTCGTAGTCAGTTTTTGATACTGTTCATTCCATGTCACCACTTGCACAGAACCTAGAAAACGATACAGGTTTTTTATTTGCACCATTTAAGTAAGTTAATAAAACCCACCACATCCAACTTGATCAACCCGGAGCTTTTCAGATATTTGCACTGCTGACTCTAATTTAGTTTTGGGCATTCTTTCTGTATCTCTCATTTCTTCTTTCAAAATCCTGCTAAACAGCTACTTTTGCTTCTATATTCACCCACTTGACTAAAATCCTCTCCAAATTCTGCCCAGAATATTGCTTCAATATGTGAAACCCAAATCATAGTTTTGCAGTTTCTGACCACCTCTGACAGGTTAGTCTGGGAAGCCAACAAAACTTTACTGTCATAAGAAGTTTTAGTTTTCTCTTCCCCATAGTATGTTAATCCTCAGTAATGCTGCACTTTTAAAACAAAATCTCCCTCACAATTACCAGAAAGAGCACTCTACACACAATTCCTTCAGACTCTCAGGTCTCATATAGATCCTACTCACAAATATCTGACCTGACACATCTTCAAACAGTGGCTTCTAAGCAGCATCCGATTTCAACACTGGATATGAACTTGCCTACTGCAAGCACCACATTCCCTCACGCCCTCACTGCTAGTCATCCATTTCCTCTGCATCCTCTCCATTTTTCAGACTTTTAGTCATGAACTTTATCAAGAGATACAATGAAAGATACCCTAAATGTCATGAATTTGTGAAGGTAACAGTAATCAATTTCAGAATTTAAATCATCCATTCAAAATATCCACTGAATAAATTCTTTTTCTTTTTGATCATATTTAACCAGGCTTCTAAAATAATTTGACTGTTGGCAGGTTTCAACTGCACATTCTCATGAAAAGGCCACTTCTTCAAATAATGTAAGGATTTTAGCATTCTCTTCATATCCCATTGTCCACAGATGATGATCATTTAACATTTCTTTCACAAGACTTTAATGCTTCCCTGCGTTCAGTTTTTGCTTTCACACATATCCTTCTCTGGACTGTTTTCTACCCTCTAAACTTTGTCTGTATATGGGAGCTGTCCCCGGCCCATGGCAGAGGGCTTGGAACTTGGTCAAGAAAGCTTTAAACCAGATATGTTGAGGGAGGGGGGCTTAGATCCATCCCAACACTCCCAGTCGGTTGCCAGCACCTGTAATAAGTGTTTGGAGCAATGTAGAGATATTTCAGCTGCTCCAACCATTGAGTCGGCCTCATTTAGAGTCCAGCTCAGATGTCTCTATACAAACGCCCGTAGTATGGGAAACAAACAAGAGGAATTGGAGATGTGTGCAAGGCTACAGGGATACGATGTCATCGGTATCACAGAAACATGGTGGGATGATTCCTGTGATTGGAGTGTTGGAATGGAAGGTTACCGGCTCTTTAGGAAAGACAGGCCAGGCAGACAGGGAGGGGGAGTTGCTATTTATGTCAGTGATAGGCTGGAGAGTATGGAACTCTGTCTGGGGATAGGTGAGGAGGTAACAGAGAGCTTATGGATCAGGGTCAAAGGAAGAACAGCGATAGGGGACATTACTGTGGGGATCTGTTACAGGCTGCCTGACCAGGAGGAATCTGTGGATGAAGCACCCTACAGACAGATAAGAGCAGCCTCACGTTCGCATGCCCTTGTCCTGATATCTGTTGGAGGGACGGAACAGCC